AAAATGGAAAGAACACGGAGGGGGAAAAGTCCACAATTACACTGAATTTTCCTGATACAAATCAACAAGAAAATTTTTATTTCGTACTTTACCATTCTACTACACATAAATGTACCCAAATCAACTTTATTCAACTCTTACCTATAAGGCACACTAACATTTACCAACATGTGCAAGTTTTGTTATTTTAATATTTTAAACACAACAGCGTGCCTGGTTTCAGGTGTAATTTAAAAAGAGAGAATGGTCCAAGCTACTTTTTTTTTTTTTAAAGATTGTATTTATTTATTTGACAGAGAGAGACACAGTGAAAGAGGGAGCACAAGCAGGGGGAGTGGGAGAAGGAGAAGCAGGCTTCCTGCTGAGCAGGGAGCCCTATGTGGGGCTCAATCCCAGGATTCTGGGATCATGACCTGAGCCGAAGGCAGACACTTAACGACTGAGCCACCCAGGCGTCCGGGTCCAAGGTACTTTTAAACATTAAAAAAAATGGGGGGGTCTTTAATCATAAAGGGGTTGAAAGGAACCCTTAGAGATCATCTAGTACAAACCTTAAAACCCAACACTCTCATCACTGATCATGGTTTATTGGTTGCAGGTTTCCTAACAGGGATTCCCCCAGCCTTTCAACACCAAATAACGACATGTGCCCTAGTTAGGAAACCTGTTGGCTTTTTAACAGGCATTCTGACACCAGGGGTAAAAAAAAGAAAAATTCTTCTTTGCGCTAAACTGAATCACCCACTAGTCCACCCTTGGCATTCACCCACTCACTCATCCAGCATTTAGTGAACATGCCTATGTGCCAGGCGGGTAGCGGCTCTTCTGAGGCTAACTTTACCTGCTTCTCTGAAGGCCCAGCGTCCTTTCCCTGGGCCGCTCTCCACTCTCGAGCCATTTCTGCATATTTCTCCTTTTCTTCCTCCCTCAAAAGCTTGGGGACATTTAAGGGGGTTGAGAAAGGAGAGAAACAGCAATGAGGACCGAGCGCCCTAGGCCCCAGAGGCAGAAGCCCAGACATTACAAGTGGTTCCTGCGTTGGTTTGTCCTGAGGCGGGAACGGGGGGCTTCCTGCCCCTCCAGCAGGGGCCAAGGGGTCACTGGCCTCCTTGAGGCCTCTTTCCTTGTCGCCTCGCCCTCCCACTTGCCCAACTGCCTGGTCCGCCCCCCTGGGCCCCCCTGCCCCCCACTCCCTCCAGTCTTACCACCCAGTCAGCAGAGCAGTAGGGGATGGCATCAGCTACGCGAGCCACAGGCAGCCCTCGCCTCCGTAGTTCGGGGATCTTCTCCTGCACAAAGAAATAGTAGGCATTACGGCTGGCCCTGCGGTTTGGCATGGTGAGCGAGGCCAGGATTCGACGACGTGGGCCAGAGACACCACAAGCCGCCGGCGCCCTAGCCGGGCTCCCGCCCTTAGTAACCGAGGCAGGCGCCTGCGCGCGAAGGCCTGCAGCTCTCGACCAATCAGGGCACTGTGCGCAGCCGCACTGGCCTCACTGGGAGAAAAACAGTCTGAGACTGACTCGTGGGGCAGTGGGGGTGGGGTGGAGGGGGAGCTTGGTCACAGGTGCAGTGCATTCTGATTGGCTGGGTTGAGGCGTTGGCGGGGGTGCTGTCGCGTGGAAGGTTTGGCGCAATTCCTGTACATTATTGCGTAATATGTGTCAAAGCCGGTAGAGGAAAAGAGGACTAGTGAGTGGTTCAAGTTCTTTCATGTTTTGTAACTGTAAAAGGCCAACTCTGTGCCAAGCGCCGTGAAAGGTGTTGGGTGGGGGACAGAGTGAGGAGCACGACAAAAAAGATCTTTTCCCTCCAGAAGTTCACAGTACAGTGGGAAGAGTTTGAGGGGAAGATGACAAAACAAGTGCATCAACCAGTATGGGTTTTTCTTTTTTTTGATTATTGCTTTTTTGTTTTTCCCCCATTCTTAAGTTAAACTTGTTATAATTGCAAAGAATATGTTTTTTTAAAAAGCAAATTTTAAGTGTTAGGAAGAAAATGTACAATAAGCTAGATTTAAAATAATGTCCTTGAATAAAATTTTATAGATTTCCTCATAAAGGTGGTGTCATTTTTTTTGTTAGTTTTATTCCTGGTATATATTTGGAGCTACTATGAAAGCTTTTGTTTCCATTGCATCTTTTTTTTTTTATTCTTTAAGTTCAATTTAGTTAACATATACTATATTATTAGTAGAATTTAGTGATTTATCAGTTGCATATAACACCCAGTGCTCATTACATCAAGTACCTTCCTTAATGCCCATCACCCAATTATCCCTTGTCCCCACCCCTGTCCCCTCCGTCAACCCTCAGTTTATTTCCTAGAGTTCAGCTTCTCTTATGGTTTGCCTCCCTCTCTATTTTCATCTTATTTTATTTTTCCTTTCCTTCCCCTATGTTCTTCTGTTTTGTTTCTTAAATTCCACATGAGTGAAATCATATGGTATTTGTCTTTCCCTGACTGACTTATTTCACTTGGCATAATATCCTCTAGTTCCATCTACATCATTGCAAATGGCAAGATTTCATTCTTTCTGATGGCTGAGTAATATTCCATTGTATATATATACACCACATCTTCTTTATCCATTCATCTGTTGATGGACATCTGGGCTTTTTCCATAGTTTGGCTATTGTGGACATTGCTGCTATAAGCATTGTGGTGCATGTGCCCCTTCAAATCACTATGACTGAATGGGTCAACCAGGAAATTAAGAATTTAAAAAGTACACAGAAGCAAATGAAAATGAAAACACGACAGTTCAGAATGTTTGGGATGCACCAAAGGTGGTCCTAAGAGAGAAGTATATTACAATACAGGCCTTTCTCAAGAAACAGGGAAGTCTTTTTTTTAAAGATTTTATTTATTTGACACAGAGAGAGACAGCCAGAGGGGGAACACAAGCGGGGGGAGTGGGAGAGATGGAGAAACAGGCTTCCCGCAGAGCAAGGAGCCCAATGCAGGGCTGGATCCCAGACTCTGGGATCATGACCTGAGCCGAAGGCAGATGCTTAATGACTGAGCCACCCAGGCACCCCATGAGACAGGAAAAGTCTTAAATATACAACGTAATATTACATCTAAAGGAGCTGGAAAAGGAACAGTAAATAAAGCCTAAATCCAGTAGGAGAAGAGAAATAATAAAGATTAGAGCAGAAATTAATGATATAGAAATTAAAAAAAAAAAAAAAAGAACAGACCAACAAAACTAGGAGCTGGTTCTTTGAAAGAATTAATAAAATCAATAAATCCCTAGCCAGACTTATCAAAAAGAAAAGAGAAAGGACCCAAATTAACAAAATCATGACTGAAAGAAGAGAGCTCACAACCAACACCAAGGAAATACAATTTTAAGAACATATGAGCGACTATATGACAACAAATTAGACAATTTGGAAGAAATGGATGCATTCCTGGAAACTTATAAACTACCAAAACTGAACTAGGAAGAAACAGAAAACCTGAACAGACCCATAAGCAGCAAAGAAATTGAAGCAGTAATAAAAAATCTCCCAACAAACAGGAGTCCAGGGCCAGATGGCTTCCCAGGGGAATTCTACCAACTATTTAAAGAAGAAATAATACCTATTCTTCTGAAGCTGTTTCCAAAAATAGAAATGGAAGGAAAACTTTCAAACTCATTTTATGAGGTCAGCATTACCTTGATCCCAAAACCAGACAAAGGCCCTACCAAAAAGGACATTTACAGAGCATGGATGGAAAAATTCTCAAGATACTAGTCAATAGGATCCAACAATATGTTAAAAGGATTATTCACCACGACCAAGTGGGATGTATTCCTGAGCTGCAAGGGTGGTTCAACATCTGCAAATCAATCAACATGATACACTACATTAATAAAAGAAATGACAAGAACTATAATAGCCTCTCAATAGATGCAGAAAAAAGCATTTGACAAAATACAGCATCCTTTCTAGATTAGAAGTCTCCACAGTGTAGGGACAGAGGGAACATACCTCAATATTATAAAAGCCACATATGAAAAGCCCACAGTGCATTTCATTCTCAATGGGGAAAAACTGAGAGCTTTTCTCCCAAGGTCAGGAACACAACAGGGATGTCCATTCTCACCACGGTTGTTCAACATAGTACTAGAAGTCCTAGCCTCAGCAATCAGACAACAACAACAAAAAAAAATAAAAGGCATCCAAATTGGCAAAGCAGTAGTTACAATAACTCTTAATGTCCTTGTCTGTTCAGTCCATCATCTGTGTCATTTCTGGGTCTGGTTCTACTGATTGATTTTTCTCCTTATTGCTTCTTTGCAAGCATGGTAATATTTGATTTGATGACAATTGTAAATTTTATCTTTTTGAATGCTGCATATTTTTGTCTTCTTATAAATATTCTTGTGCTTTTTCTGGGACAGAGTTATGTTATTTGGAAACAGTTGGAGTATAGTTTTTCTTCCTTTTGAGGCTTGCTTTTATGCTTTGTTATTTGGTATCAGAGCAAACTTTAGGGCTAATTTTCTCCTCCGTTGATATAATACCCTTAGTACTCTGCCTGACAACCCATGAATTTGGAAGTTTTTCCATTTTGGCTGATGGAATCACAAACTATTTCTAGCCCTGTGTGAATTTCAAGGATTGTTCCTCCTAATCCTTTCAGGTTGTTCTTTCTCTGGCACTGTGTAGTTTCCTCCCACACATGCACAGAGCAATATTCAGCTGGAGCTTCAAGGGAGATCCTTAGCAGATTTCCAGAGCTCTTTCTTTGTACTGTTCTCTCTTTTCTGGTACTCTGCCCTGCAAACTCTAGTCACTGTGACCTACCTAGACACCAACTCCATCTCCTCAACCCAGGGAGACCACAGGGCTCTGCCTAGGTTACCCCTCTTGCTGCATTCTGGATACTCTCTCCAGACAGCAACCTGGGGCCATCAGATGACTCACCTTGTTTGTTTCTGTTCTTGCAGGGATTACTCACCTCTGCTCCTCTATGTCCAGTGTCTGAAAACATTGTTTTATATATTTGATCGAATTTTTATTTGTTTAAGATGTTGGATAAAGTGATTCCCTGTTATTCTACCTTGGCCAAGATTGCTTTACCTTATTTTGATATTTTATTTTTTATTATTTTTTTAAAGATTCTATTTATTTATTTGAAAGAGAGAGAGAGACAAAGCGAGAGCAGGACCACAAGCAGGGGGAGTGGGAGAGGGAGAAGCAGGCTTCCCACCAAGCAGGGAGCCTGATGTGAGGCTTGATCCCAGTACCCTGGGATCATGACCTGAGCCGAAGGCAGATGCTTAATGACTGAGCCACCCAGGCGCCCCTTATTTTGACATTTTAAAACAATATGTAGATTTAACTGCTAAATTTTTAGATATGTAATCAGAACAAATCTCTCTGAGGAGACACCATTTAAAACAAGAAAGGACACTAAAAAATAGAGCTAATCATGTGAAGAATCAAAAAAAAAAAGCATTCCAGATGGAGGGAACAGCATGTGTGAGGGTCTCAGACAATAAATAGTTTGGTGTATCATCAGAATAGACAGAAGATTGGTTGATGTTACAGTTGTGTGTCCACTCAGGTGGAGAAGGTGCATGCTGAGGATGGAGTGATCAGCAGGAATTTGGAGATGGCACTGTCCAGGGTTCAAGTATTACTAAGTATGTGGGTGGTCATTAAAAGATTTTTTTTAAAGTGTCATGATATGGTTTACAGCTGAAGAAGATTAGTCTTTTTACTATTTGGAGAATAGGCTCAAAGAGGCAAGAATGGGCATGGGGTGACTAGTTAGGAGGTCCATTCAGAAGTCCATGTGAGAGGTGATGGTGACCTAGAACAGAAAAGAAACAGGAGAAATGAAGGGGAGAGAATGGTTTCAAATTGTGCTTTGGGGAAAAAAGAACTAACTGATGGATTGGATATAGAAGTGAGAGAAGGGGAGGAATTCTAGAGTTTTGGCTTAAGTAACCCAGTGGCAAGTCATGTCTTTTTCTAAAATAGCAAGAACTGGGGGAGGGAGGACAGTGCTGGTACCAAAGAGGGTCCAATGCTCCTCATAATTTCTATTACCTGCTCCTTTCCTTCTTTGATACAACTGATTTTTTTTTCAATCTTACCTAAGCAAAGTCCTATGTAAATGGATCAGTTTTTCCCTCTTTCCACCCAGATTGATTTTCTTATTCAGAAATTCTGGAGAGTGGTAGGTTTTGGTTGGGATGTGGATGGCAGGGGGATCAAGAATTTAGTTACGGATGTGTTAATTTTGAAATGCCTCTTATACATTCAAGTGGAGATGTCAAGTAGGCAGTTGGTTGTCTATGCCTGGTGTTCTGGGCTAGAGACAGAATTTGGAAGCAATTTGGGCATAAAGATGGTATTTAAATTCATAGAAATGGATTAGATCACCTAGGCTGAGGGTGAAGAGAGGAAAAAAGTTTCTAGGATGGAGTCCTGAAGAACACCAGCATTTAGAAGTCAGAAGAGGAAAACCCAGCAAAGATGACTAAAAAGGAATGTCTGAAGAAGCAAGGAGAAAACCAGGGAAACCAAGACAAGAGGAATATTTACAAGAGGAAGTGCTTCATTTATTCAATAAGTACATATGGAAAGTCTGTGGAATA